GATGCAAAAACGCATGATCGCACCGGCTCGCCTGGTGCGTTCCAGCCTTTGTTGCAATTTGCGTATGGGCAAAAACGCATAAAAACTGACATTTGTGTTCCTGGATGTCCTTGCGGTTCTATAATGTACCACCTTCATCCCAACAGAGACCCTTTCTCCTGCTTGCCAGAAAGGACCAAAGCATGGCCGATATGAGCCCAAGTGTTAGGCTTCAGCACAGGGATCATTCCTGCTATTAGTAGCCTGCGAGTTTAGTGCAAAAACGCATGACCGCACCGGCAGTCCTGATGCGTTCCAGCCTGGGTTCAGTTTGGGAAAGGGCCTGGACGACTTAAAAGTTTCGGCTGTGCAAGCGGCCTCGGTCCTTGTTTTCAAAATTTCGGTTTATGATGTTGTTGGTTTGGGGTTATAGAATTTTTGAACCTAATGTGGAAGGTTATAGCGAAAAGCGATTTTAAAGCTTATTTTAGCCTCAGGACCTTTTCGCAAACTTCTTGCTCCTTAGTTTGGCAGCTCCAGAGTTAAAACAAGTGGTACGACGAACAGATACACATGAAGATGATAACTTCTACACACGCTTTTGCATCCTAGGCACTAAAATTCAGAAAAAAGCCAAAAACTGGTAATTTTGGGAGTTTATTTTAGTGAGTAATGAAGAATAGGAGACCGAAAAGCTAGTTGACTGCCTAATCGTGTGTTAGATTATTGTTCAGTCTAATTTCATTAAAACAGAAAAGTTGAGCTACAAAGTTAAAATCTTGGTGGGTCAGTTCACTATATAATAGGGTAGACGATCTGATTTTTATTCTTGCTCAAAAACTCCTGTAGAAGCGCTGTGATTATCCAACACTGGATCTAATCAGTCTAATATTCAGCGGCTGGTTCGTCCATTGGACGGTCGTAACTATCACCCCTATCGAAATTTGTATTTTTGTCCAATGTTAAGCTTTTCAACGTCCTAGGCTCTAAATGTTTCAAAAGAAAAAATTTTCTGTGATCGATGCCTACTACGTCCATATGTTTTTTGGAAATATGTCTACTTGTAATGTCGCGCTATTCATGCACAAAGATGAATTCTTTGTTTGATGGCTGATAAAAATTAGCTCATTAAAGCGCCCCGTGAAGCATTCATGAGGATGATTTTGCAGATGTCTGGTCTAGATACCCGCGAGGAATCAGTGCCGCATCGTGGCTTCACAGTCAAGGCCCGCGAAGTTCTGCTAGAACCACCAGCACCGTTCGCATTAACCAAGGTAAGTTTACAAACATTCATTCAGAGATGTGATTAAGCTTTCATAGGAGCTTCAGAGATTTTTTATTTCACAGCAGTCGGCTCATTTGTCACTCTTTCGTTTGTTCAGTTTTTAGTTGATTCTAAGAATACATTTAAAACTAATTCATTTCTAACCGTGTGTTTTCCAGAACATATTCAGCGAGGGCAACAAAAATATTTGAGCGCCACTTTTTTTTCTTGACGGGCCAAAAATGTTTCCTGCGCGTAAGATATTCATCACGGCAAAGCTTGTAAATTGAAGGAGATAGTGAATATCAGGTGGCAGATCGGGAATCAGGACGCATTATATTGAAATCCAAAGTACCTAAGAATTTAATCTAAAGTTGACATATTAAAAATGGTTTTTGTCGAATAATTGTGATGTTTTTATTTCGAAAAAATTTTTTCTGCCTTACGGGTAAATGATTTACCTTTTGTTATTATTTTTCTTCTTTTGCTACCCTGCACATTCTTATCAGAGTGCTTTTTTTGTTTGAGGACAGTCCAAAAACCAGCACACTTTTTTAGGATATTTCCGGAAGTTGTTCAAATATATCTGACAGCCCCAAAGCACCACATCGTGGATTTACTGCTAAAGCACGGGAAATGCTTGTTGAAAGGCAGACACACGATAATCACCACGGTTTAAAATGTAAGTTTAAAAACAACCATAGCTTATACGGTAAGCGAAGGTTAGGAAGAGTGAGGAAAATCAGAAACGGAGAAAAGGGGAAGAGAGGCTAAATTATTATCGTGTTTTAGTTGGACTAACAAGCTTTGTAAATCACAAAACAGGGGACTAAGGTTTAGCTATTCGTGCGTACTTATTCTACATTAAAGTGTTTGAGAACAATTTCTTGGCAAAAATTTTACTGTCATGGGCTTTACAGCGTAAACGAATCTTAAAAAAACGCTTACGGACAAACTGATGCTCGATTTCTATGAAAATAGTTTTTTAAGTGGATCTTCGCTTACAGTTCACGCCGCACCAGGAACTTAGCCAAAAATAGGAATAGTAGCGTGTAAGCAATCAAAGCTAATTACGGCGAATCGTCTTAGCTAGATTTGTGCTCCGACTCCTTATAAGTGTCATCTGCAACCACGTTCAGCACTCCTCCATTTAATTTGTCTTTTCCACAAAGAATTAGTCTCCGCTGGTTGAACTCAGCTCTCCGCCTTTTTTCTTCATCTCCTTCCTAATTTTCCCGATCAAATTTGACTTCTTTTTCCTCTAAATTTCAATCTCATTCAGCACTTTTAGTATCCTCTGACCACGATCCAGAGCAGATACAATTTTCGTCTTTTTTTTGTATGGCATGAAATCAGTAACGCGCCCTTTATTCATTCAGAGAGAGCACCTTTTGAAAATTCTGACAATAAAATAACACAGACTACTTTTAGAAGAGTGAATACGAATATTTTTTTTTTTAAATTAATTTTCAAATAGAAATGGTTTGGAGCATTTTGAGCGGCTTTCTTTCCACCGTAAAGCATCGTTGCATCATTCATGCGACTTGCGAAATAACTTTTTTCTATCGTAATCAGCCTACAGGGAATCTTGACTTTCTCCATAAAATTGAAATTGTTAAAGTACTAATGATGCCATAGCTGTAACCGGCTTGTGCGAGCATACCTGTAGCATTATTAACACGGAGTCCGCGCTGTCTGCCTAGGCGGTATCAGTATTTTTTTTGTTAGAGACCGTCTGTTCAATGAAATTTCAACTTAGTTTTGAAAATTATCAAATTGAATTATGCGACTAAATATACACATGCACACATATATAGTACATGCATGCATAAACACATGCATGTGTTTATACCTATATACAAATACACATATATATATATATATA